AAAGTGAAGTCATAATCCTCCAGGTACTCTATCCACCTGCATTGTCTCATGTTGAGGTCCTGTTGTGAAAAGATGTACTTCAGACTTTGGTGGTCTAAAAATATCTCAAACTATTCTCTGTACAGATAGTGACGCAAAAAATTGTTGCCGACTCCATGTCATGTGTAGGATAGTTTTTCTCGTGGTTCTTAAGCTGTCGAGAACAATAAGCTACCACCCTCCTGGATTGCATCAAAACACAACCTAGTCCGTTCTTAGAGGTATCACAATAGACTTTGTAACTCTGTCCTCTCTTTGGCACAATCAGAATAGGAACTGAAGTCAGCCTCCTCTTCAACTCATGGAATGCCTTCTCATATGAGTCATCCCACTGAAACCAAAATTTCTTTCTCGTAAGTCTCGTCATAGGTGCTGCTAATCGGGAGAAGTCCTTGATAAATCTTCGATAGTACCCTACCAATCCCAAGAAACTGCATATCTCGAAGATTAACTTTGGCCTCTCCCAATCCATTATAGCCTCAATCTTTTTTGACTCAACTGATACACTCGAAGTATACACCACGTGTCCCAAAAATTTCACCTATGTTAGCCAAAATTCACACTTGTTGAATTTGGCGTATAACTGAGAGTCTCACAAGGTCTGGAGAATGATCCTCAAGTGATACTCATACTCCTCCTCCAGTTTTCTCTTAAAGATGGAGCTAAGATGTGACTAAATTCTCTAAGACCATAGTCTATCACAAGTTGGTAGGATTGGCATTCCAATTCTTAGAACCAATGTCTTAAAAAGATAAATAATGAATTTCACCCTCAAAGTTGGTGAAATATTTTACGAATGTTGGGAGCAGTTCAAGATGACTAACCATTAAAATTGTTATTTTATTATATTTAATTGATCATTAATTGTGCATTATTAGAGATTAAATATATTGTATTCCTTAATTTTCTAATTTGACACTTGTTCTAGTTGTTTGATTTATTTTACTGGTAAAATGGTTGAATTAGGTTAAAGACATGGCAATTGAATCTGTAACAACCTGGTGTTTGGTGATCGACAATTAGGACAAAAATGAGTATGTGTGCGATTAGGGGTTCGGAGTTTGGAGAGTCGGGTCAGGAAATGATAGCCCTAGAGTGTGTGTGTAAGTATTCTAGAGATGGTTAGGGTGTCTATTAGGTGGAGGATGGTGACTGGTGAAGTGAGAACGGACCAGAAAGCACAATCAGGTGAATTATGGTCAGTGCATACCTGAGAGTTAGGGGTGTGAGGACGGTGTTCACAGATCAAATTAGACATTGATTTGAGCTTTAAAAATTTAATGGATAATTTTATAGTGCTTGATTTAATATGTATGCAATTTTAAAAAACAATTAATATTTTTAATTACTTTTTGAATTTCAGTCAAAATGTGAATTTACCAAAATTCCATGGAAGCATCTTCAACCTTCTAGGCTTGCAAGGTGGCCAGTGGAGTAATTGCTAGGTTGAATGGGCGACACCAGTTGCTTGGAGGAGACTTGAGTAAGCTACTTGAAGGTATAAAAGAGGAGGAAGCTGGTTAGAAGAGAGAGAAAGTGAAGAGAGAAGTTAGAGAAAGAAACTTAAACTTTGGATTTTTGGGTTTGTCGAAGAGGCTACTTTGAATGATTAGAGGTATGCTACTAGGATAATTTAATGGCTAGGAATCTCTCAGCATCATTAGAATTTCATTTCATGTACTGTAATTACTTGAATTCATGTTTTAAACTTTCGGATTCTAGGTTTTTATGAAATGAGTTTTGAGTTTGAGGTCATTTTGGCTTAATTGGTTGGCATGACTGTGTTATGGGGAGTTGGAGGAGAGTACTTTGGTAGTGGTTTTGAAACTTGTCGTGGCTAGAGGTGGTGGGGCGGTGGTGGTGATGAAGTTTCAGTCATGTTGGGTTTTTGATCTCTTTGTTTTGGGTGTTTAAGCTTTGATGAAGGGTGTTACCTAGCTAAAATGGACCTTAGGAATCTATTGGTGGCCTCTAAAATGGGTTTAGAGGTCATTAGGGGGCTGAAAATAGGATTTTTCGGTCTAGCCCATGTTGAAAACCTTCTGTTCGTGTAACTTTGACCTTATTTTTGGATGGGTTTAAACTAAATTCGAAGCTTTAAACCTACAGGAATTTGTAGAGTGTTATGTAGTGAGTGCATAGGTTTAGAAAATAGGTTAAATGGAGTATTGTGGAGTGAGAAACAAAGGTGAGAAGTAGGGGTTGGGGCTAGTAGGAAGGAAACTAGAGTTTTGGTTAAATTGCTTGGGGGAAGAAGATTAAGTGACAGACAAACCATAGGACACCCTAACGGTACGTGATGGTGCATTCGGTGTTTAATGGACCTTTGGTCAGTGCCAAAAGTTCCAATGCATGTGGAGGTCTCGATAAAATTTGAGGTCAATCTGATACTCGGATCAATATGTGGTATAAAATGTCTATTTTGCCCTCTAGGACCAATTGACCCAGTTTTTGGGTTATTTTTTCCAAATAAATTTTATATTCATTCTTAACTAGTGAAATTGATCACGTGTATGAAATTTCATCGAAAAATAACATCAATTCATATTTAGCTATTTTAGATAAGCCAACGTTAATAGCAGGTCTAATTCTGCGATAAAAAAGCTCTGTTTCCAAATAGATTTGTCCATCAGTAATGGGGATCACGTTGGTGGGAATATAGGCTGATAAGTCTCCAACTTGTGTTTCAATGACGGGTAAGGTGGTCAAGCTACCTACGCCTGTTTGGTCAGATCGTTTAGCCTCTCTTTCTAAGAGACATGAATGTAAATAGAAAACATCGCCTAGGAAAGCCTCACGACCTGGTGGTCGGCGTAACAATAATGATATTTGTCGATATGCCACCACCTGTTTACTAAGATCATCATAGATTATTAAGGCGTGCATTCCATTATCATGGAAATATTCCCCCATGGCACACCCAAAATATGGGACAAAAAATTGCAGAGCAGGATCTGAAGCAGTGGCTACTACAAGAATGGAATATTCCAAAGCATTCGCTTTTGAAAGAATTTGAACTAATTGTGCCATAGTTGAGCATTTTTGTCCAACCGCTACATAGACACAATACAATGTCTCACTCTCACAGGTGGCCCTTGAGTCAATTTGCTTTTGGTTTAATATGGTATCGATAGCAATAGCAATTTTTTTAGTTTTTCGGTGATTAGCCCTAATTAGTATATAAATTAGAATAGTTAAATAATTCAAATTGGTATGATAAAATAATTAAAAACTATCAATTAGAGTCAATTAGGGTTTGTGCATAAATTAGGATTTTAATTGTGTTATGTTTAAAATTTCAGGGTTCAATACGGAATCGTCGAAAAATACGAAGAACAATGCATGAAAGCTTGAAAGAACAAAGGACCAAAGTGTAAATATACCAAGGAAAAGTCAGCGCACAACAAGATCAACATCCAGCAAAGCAAGACCGTCCAAACGGTGGAAGGGCGTCTGGACGGTGGTCCAAAGTCAGCTCATGCAAATCTTCCATGTCTTGCTTCCTTCCTTCTATAAATAGGCATGCATGGCCTTCTTCAAAAGACGGTCGGGCACAGAGGAGTCCAAAGAGAATTCCAAAAGAGAAAAAGAGAAAAATAAAGAGAAAGGAAAGAGAGACAGAGAAATTGCAATCCAATCCGGTCCATCATTCACTTCAGTCAAAACTCTGTATGTCTACATTTTTGTTGTATCTTTCTATTCGGATAATTGAACTGCCACCACCTTTTGTCGTGACTGATAATAAATGTGGTTGTGTTTTAGTTGTTCCTTGTGAAAGAAGTTTTAGAGTCAGTATTTTAATTTTAGTCGTAATGAAAACTACTCGCACTCCTTGCTTGTCTGTACAATATGTACAATATTGGTTAACTACTGGAAATGTTGATGTTTTATTCATATATTTATCTATATATGTTTTATACGCTTCATGCATGATACAGTGATGTACATAATTTTGGTGTTGTGCCTGAAATTATGTCATCAGTGCATCATGAACCTACCGGTTAAATATCTACGGTATTCCTATCAGTATGGCTAGTCCTCCACCATAACACTGAGGATGTTCTACTGATGCATGGTACAAAACCTAAATGATCCTCATGAATGACTTGTCCTTCTGGAATATCAGAGTTGTTTAACTACTATATATAACTATCAGATTAATGACCTAAGTGATCCTCATGAACGGTTTGTCCTTTTGAATTACTAAGATTATTTAACTGGTATACATGATAATATTGCCAGTCGAATATCTATGGTATTCCTATTAGTATGGCTAGTCCTCCACCAGAACGCTGAGGATGTTTAACTGGTATATATGTATCACAGATGACCTATTGAATAATTCAAGTATTCCTAATGAATGGTTTGTCCTTCTAGTTCACTCGAATTAGTCAAATGACACATCTAAAACCAGTTAACCTAAGAAGTTACTGTATTATAACTTAATACCACCAGCTAACCTAAGAAGTTGCTGAGTTATGGTTTATTATGTACACACTTAATATTATGGAGTCAATTGAATAGTTCAAGTATTCCTCACGAATGACTTGTCTTTTTGGTTCACTTGGATTAATCAATTGACACAGATACCACCAGCTAACCTAAGAAGTTGTTGTGTGATGGTTTATATACATCAGACCTACTGGTTGACTTGCTAGTAACATGAAAGTTAATTGTTGTAAGGTAGCATTTCCAGTACTTGACCAATATAACGCATACGAGATCCTTAAACTGATAGATACTTTTTATTATTGTTTTAATCTATCTACAAATAAATGTTTATTGTCTTAATCTCAGGCTATCTTATTCTAAACAACAACTTCACTATTTTATTTTATTTCCTAATTATTAAAACTCTTCATGGGATCAATAGTTGGACTAAAAATCGAGAAAACTACAATTCGACTACTTATACTTGGGTGTATAATATAAATATCAGATCACGAAAAAGTGTGAATCGGTCAGTTCTCGATTATAACTTCTAGTTGACCACGTCCTATAGGAACCAGGCTATCTACTACTTTTAACCATGTTTGCATAGGCTCATGCACATATTTACGTTCAATAATCCCGTGGGCTTTCACTTTAATACGTCTTCGCTCGTGATCAATTAGAGCCCCTCTTCCATCAATAGGTACTCCCAACGCATCGACCACATACCCTAGCATAGCCTTTCTCGCAGGAACATCCACAATAGATCCAGTGCGCTTGACAAGATCTTCTTCTTTAATAGCAGTATCACTACCAAAGACAACAATCCCTACATTCTCATTCTCAAGATTCAAGGCTATTCCTTTCACACCTCTGGCAAATTCAACCATTCCCCTTGCTTGAATCTCGTTCAATCCATAAACAAGTGTAATCCCATCTCCAACTGAGAGCCAATCGAACCATCATTTATATGACCATGTCCTTACCTTATCGATATTCTATCCGCAAGAGGAGTGGCTCGACTGTTTGGCAAGCTTTAGAGAGTAGGGGCAAGGTGTGGAGTTTGTTGGCGAAGTTCTTGCCCTACCTTTTCCCTGTGGGAACTCTGGTGGAACTCTAACACTTTTCCCAACTATTAGGGCTGTTGAAACCCCCTACTCTGGTAGCTCCTCGAAACCCAAAGCCTTCTTCAACTTGTGTGTGTAGTGCTTTCTTGGTTTGTTAGTATAGTTAGTCTGTTGTTTGTTTTTTTTAATGATTGTTATAGTACGTGTGACCTGCTAGGGACTGTCTAAAAGTGGAAGGTCAGAGGGCTTCAGATAGGCGCTCATCAGTATGATTCTTTTTTTTTATTAAATGAGTAGTCTCTTCTCTTTGCTTTAACACTAGACTTGTGTAATAAGATCTTTCCAAATGTGGAGTTAAGGGTGGTTGTAGATTAGAATTTACGGAGGAAGGGGAATGTGTAGCTGGGCTAGGAGAGTGATTAAATGGATAAGAAAGAATGTCAACTTCTTGGCATGCTATTCACCCTTACCTGAAAACCAGGCAGGAGAGAACGAAGTCTACGAGCGTGGCACCACCTCTTGGCTTTGCTTTCTGCCTTCTAAACTTCGCTACCTGAGCTATGGAACTAAAAGGGGGCTATTCAAAGATGAGAATATAACACAATATAGAAGGGGAAGCGAGACCAATATAGATTGAATTTCAAAGTCGGGAAAGGGAGCCAGAATCCCTATTCATGGGTTGATGATTGATTCAAGATTCAAGATGTGAGCATCAGATCCTCAATAAGAATCAATTAAAAAGGGGCCAATGAAAGTGTTTGAAGGGACCTTCTTGTACATTGATTGACCTATCCACCATCTCCCTTTTAGAAAGAAAATTTCATTCACTTTGCCCCTCTTCCTCAAGGAGTGAGGTGGGCAACTAGAGGAAATCTCACTACAGAACTAAACGGAAGGGGGATTAGGATGAAGCAAGTAGCAAAAGACATAGTTTCGTCAAACTTACTAAGGCAAAAGAATAAATCCAAGTCATTGATTGAGCTAGCGAAGCCATAACAACAGAAGCAAGAGAAGCTGTAATAGAGGCAGGAGAACGGGGAATTCCATTTTAAAGAAGAAAGATGAATAGGGTACTCGATTGACATCGTAACCATTAACGAAAGAGAAAGGGCATTGAAGCAGTGTCAAAGTGAAGTGGTAAGTGACATAGGTGGGGGTAGTGGTAACACTCCCAACAGCTTCACCGCTTTCATACCCTTTTTCAAGTTCTTTCGATTCAGGGACCTAGATCAAAAGCAGCGAGTAGCTTCACTAGTAGATCCAAGTCCAGTTATTGATCCCCTTAGAATGGGGGCTGGGGTCCCTAGAGCTACAGTTTCATCTCTTGATCATGATGGACCATAAAGAAGTTCTTTTTGGAGAATAGGAATGAGTTGGTATCCATGTGCCTATCCCCGGCCTATAAACTAGAGATAAAGATCTAGATTCAGGCCTTTGTCTTCAAAACCCATATCTTCGTACTCGTGATGAAGATCCAGATAGAGACAGGGATCTGAATTGGAGATACATTCCTTCAGGAGCCTGATCTAGACGACCTTCGAGATCGAGATGAAGCAGCAGTTGATATGGTGCTTGCTTCTACCGATGCACCAGCATCAAAGACAGAGAGTTCTTTGGAAGCTTTCAAAGGCAAAAGCAGGAGTAGTGGATCGAGTCCTTACTACCTAAGATCTTGCAAGTGAAGAAGAAGTGGATTCTTGAGTGATCCAATTACAGATCCATGAGCGGGGGAGAAGAGACCTGCATCCCATCCATCCACACGACATGATAGCTTAAGCAAAGAGTAGAGAGAGCTAAGCAATCATACAACAAAAATATACAAAAGCCTAGCGCAGGCCTATCATAGACTAGTCTAAAAAAACGTTTTCTGTCTCTGTCAGCGAGGGAGAAAGCAAGCTTATGGTGCTTAGGATGTTAGTGTTATTGTAGGATACTATTAAGCACCTATATATGTAAATTTTTGTAGACTCCTATGTCCAAGCGTATAAGAGCTATTATGCTCAATTAAAGGAAGTTTATGAAAGAGTCTTGATTTTTTGAATTGTCGGCGTGAGAACTTACTTTTCTGGTGATCATATGAACAATGTCGTCCACTTTTTTGAGTTTCCATTGATCTCTCCAATGAAGTTGTGGAAGCATGAAATGTTATTGATGAATGAGCATTGCTATCTGATTCCTAAAAAAAAAATAGGGGAAGCTCACTTACAAATGAAAGAGAGTTCGTCGAGCCAATATAGCGAGTCAGGACGAGTACTGGCTGGGCATTGTACAGATAGGAAGAGGGAGAAAGCAAAGGACCTAATTCTCAAAAGGATACTAACACATACAAATATGAAAGCACTGGAGTTCATACAAATGTAAGAAAGGGAGCCCCCTTAATGGAAGTGAGGGTAGGTTCTTACTCATGCCTAGTGGAAAGTCGTGAATGCTACACAATCCGATTATTGGGCTGCACTATATCGGATCTTACTTATTTTTATTCTTATTCCCAGACAGGCAGATCAAGAAAGCAAATCGTAAAAGGAAAGGGGCTACTAGCCAAGGGGAATTAGATTTATAAATGCAAAGCCTGACAAAGCTTATGCTCCTCTGATGACTCAAGCAGAGGAGGATAAGCGACTCCTTAACTAATAAAAAAGGGTAGGCTAGCCTTTCAATCCAACAAAAGAATGAGAGACTTCACCCACACGTACTAACTAATTTCTCTTATATCTAGAGCTGAACCCACGTCCTACTTCTTTCTATAGAGTAAGTGACAGGCAGGTGGACTAAAGGCTATAAGTCTCTAAGCTACGACAAAAAGAAAAGTAGTGCCCTGGACCACGCACCAAAGGGATTATCTATTTGCACGAGGTATAGCTCAATCAATAAGTTGGAGTGAAGTCTTTCCATTGCTTTGGAATGCGGCAGCAAATGTATGCTTTAATCTCAAGAGGCAAGTCATTACGATAAAAAAAAAATTGATTAATTCTGTGTTGGCATGCTAGGTTTGCCAATCCATCTGCAACCAAGTTACATTCTCTAAACGAGTGCTGGAAAATGACTTGAATTCCCTGCATCTTTTCATAAATACTATTCAACCAATACCAAATGATCCAAGAGGATCTATCTTGACGCACCAAAATGTCAACTAAGAATTTTTAATCACTCTCAATCAAGATATGATTCAGATTCAAAGAGATGCAAAGCGAAAAAGGAAGGTATCCGTGCTAGTGATGTCAATCAAGAGAATCAAAGGTTTTGTAGTTAAAGGTAAAACGGTCACAGCTCAAATTGTCGTCACCAAGGTCGTGTTCCTCTGATAGTTTGACCCACTATTTAAGATCGGGATTTGGAAAAATCCTAAGGTAGATACATGAACTGAAGTCCTTGTTCACCATTTTAATGATGATCTGAAGAAATGTGAAAGAAATCCTCACTCTACTTTCGAGTCAACTTATGTGAGATCTTTCTTCTTCCTAAAGAGTGGAATGAATCTTAGCAGTAGTAGGGTGACCCGCCACGCTAGCTAAAGTATTAGCTCTTCTTTCTGGCTCATTGGGCGCCCTTGTTCCAAGAGAATCTGAAATCCTAGTCTTAAGGATCAGTCAAATAGCACATTAGACTTTCTCTGAAGTGAGATTGCCGTCTCTGGGGATTTTAGTGATGAGTTTACATCCAATGCATTTGCATTCTTGTAGTCAGAGCTTTACTTGTACTAAAGTGCAAAGAAGACCAACTCCATTGAGAATGCAAAAAGGGTTGGATTCTCACCTGACTATCTAAACTCAAGCTTATTAGTTGGATTCCTATTCAACTACCCTGCTTCAAGCCCTAACCCTTATATAAGACAATTATGAAACCCATGAAAAAGACCTACATACCTTTTCCTTCTGTGTTTTCTTTCTAGTCCCTGTGTCCAAAGAAAAAGAAGCCCTTCTCCTTCTTCCTTTCTTTATGTTGCTGGCCTTTTCTAGCCTGATAGTGAATGAAAGTTCAAGCAAGGTATGTCGAATTCCACTCTTGCTTTGACGACTATAGTCAGTACTTTTTGCTTAGGAATAAATGCTTCCCTAGCTACTTGCCAGAGAAAAATGGAGCCTTAAAAATTGGAAATTCATCCCCCTAAGCGGATAAAGGCTTAAACCTATTCATCTATCCTCTCCTTCACTTTAATCTTCTCAAAAAAGGTTATCATTCCCATGAATCTTGATCTGACTTCTGGCATTGATAGCAATTGATCGAATTCCTACTCTGGTTTGAGAAGCTTTTAAGTTTTCCTTATCTTTTGTGCCTTTGAACTACCATGAAAAGAATTAGAAATACGTATGTCTAGTACTAAATAAACCCTCTTCGCTGGCCAACCCTATGTCTTGGTACTCTACCCTCCCATTCATAAGAGAGTAGTTGTTGTCATCGGAAGTAGGTGAAGGCAGTGAGTTGAGTAAGTCTTGTCAACAATGCTTCGCAGAACTAAATACTAACACATTGTTCACTTCTATACTTCTCCACCGCCAAAACACAATGACTTATGCAATTCATACAAGCACGCATGAAACACGAGCGAAAAATTATGAATTTTCCTTAAAAGCTCGCGGGCCCCAACCGATGGTCATTCCTAGGCCTAGTCAACCACTTATGATGACTTTGCTCTTACCTACTAGTGTTGGAGCCTCTCCTACTGATGTCACCACTGGTTTTGATACTTTCACCAGTACTTAAGCCAACACCTAGCTATGCCCATGTCGTAGCTTCTGTAGCTACGAGAAACCTCTGGACCCTAGCCATAAAAAAGGATCTGTTATTGTCCATGCCCTAGCCGTTGCTTCCGCTGGATCAATGGGATCCCAATCTCCATTTCTTAGGTATGCTTGCCCTGTTCAGAAACTAAAGCTACTTTTTCTCTTTCACTACACCAAACCCACGAACTTTCACCCAAATGCATACAGTTGATTCCATAGGTACGACGAGCATGCTACTAATTCCAGCTGGACTTTGCAAAACTTATTGCCTTACCTACCGGAGGAAGGAAAAAATAACTTAGCTGGTTTTTTTGTCAACAATTGGAACTTGAGAATATTGAAGGACCCGTTACTAGGCAAGGTAAAACCAACAACATAGAGGCTTTGCAGCTACAAGAGCCACAAAGACTATTGTAGAAAGATGACAGGATTATACTCAAACAATAGCAGTGGTACTCTCCGAAGTAAGCCCTGAAAAGAAAGGTGCTACACTATAGTAACCAGAACAAGACCTTGGCCCTAGATGCTATGGAACACCTTTCCTTCCTTGTCAAGGGCAGTTGCTTAACCAAGCAACCAATTACCACCCTAAAACATAGCCACTCACCAGGGAGAAATTCTTGCTCAGATCTCCATTCTAGACTTTTTCTTTTCTACGCCATCCTTAGGCAAGTTAGGTTGTAAAAGGAAAGGCCCTAGGATTTCAAGCCATGATCTAAAAAGTGATTGCCCCCAACCCTTTTACAGTTCCAGAAGCAGAGGGAATAGCTTCAGTAGTTCCATCTCTCTAACCCGCAGGAGTTTCAGTGGAGGGTGAGAACCTGGATAGAGAGGGACCTATAGCAGTAGTTTAAGTCGGCCCAATAACGGAGCTAGTAGGAGCAAAGCCTTATTTTTAGGGATAGTGAAATTCTGGATTGAAGAGAGATTCACCCATAGTAGATAAGGGGCAAATCCAGAGGCAAAGCTATAAGCGACTCTATCTGTATAGGGGAATTTCTTGCTCAAGCTTCTCGATCTGGAAAGGAACTGCTCACTACTACTATATACGATTCACTTTTGCAAGGCTCGACCCGACCTCGAAGAGCAATCCAGGCATTTTGAAATCGTGATCCAAAGAGAGTCCTAGTCGTCATAGTCAGAGATTTAGATGTAGTTCCAGACCCAGTCGATTTAGCAGTCACACTGTTGCCCCCGAGTCTTGGTTTGGGAAGGATGTGAGTATTGGTTGTTGGCATGTCCGAGCTAACAATGGTTGAGGCGGGTAAAGACAGTTGAGTAGCTTACTTGGTAAAGGACTCCTTTAGTTTAGAGATCATGGATCAATTCTAGGTGGTTAACTTGTATACCTTTATTCTCAGAGTTCATGTTCTGATCTAGCAAATTAACATCCATAGTTTTGGACAGGACTGGTGGGAACTAGGAGGTAAATCATCTATTAAAGCAATCGGGCAAATACGTGTATGCTAGCTTACTAGCTTTAGTAGCTTGTATACTAGCCTGTTAAAGGAAGCAAGGGTACACTAATTTGGGATGCTAACTAAGTAGATGGGGAAGCAAGGTGCAAAAGCAAGCGGGCAACAAGTGGATTGGGCTAACGGTTTATTTGCTCGTTAGGATTTCCTATTCTAGTAGGCATAGGAACGGTTAAGCCAGCATAGACGAAAGCTCAACCAATGGGCTATTTGCTATAGTTCAAAGACCTATTCATAGAAGGTCCGGAGACATGA